TGTCCCAAGCTAATGGGTTGGGTTAAGAGATGCCTGCAAAATGAGAGTGTTTCAAAGACCCTGCCTGATCCCAAGAAGGTCCATGACTTTGTGCTCCAATTGAAGAAAAAATTAGGCCTCTAAAAAGACAAACTGCTGCACCTTTTTTCTCTTCTGTTCCTTAGTCTGGAAGTGGAAGGATTTGTGATCTGATCATAATCCATGTACTTTATTTTCTAGTGTTAAGTGTTTTTGTAGCTTGGGGTTGTGTTATTTTCTGTTTGGATGCTGAGAAAAAGGTTCGGTTTGCACACTTTGATGTGTGTGTTGAATATTATCAATGTACTGAGAAATTGAATAAATGGCCATGGTGTTGGTTTCTAGACAAAAGTGTTGACCTTTTGCTTTCAAATTGTGGAGATTTATCATTGTTTCCTTTTTGAAAGGAGAAGCCAATTTATAGCCTTCAATGTAAGCTCTAATAATGCAAGTTATAGACCTTTTCAGCTGCTCCAACTTAAAAAATGACTAGCTTATCATGGTGGTCAAGGCATATATTTTCGATCGAAAATCGGACACTTCCTCGGCCCAGCATGTTGAGATTGATCTAAAGACATGATTTCGTACTTAAAAAAATTATGATTTTTGTTTTTTTATCTTTTTAGCTATAGTTATATACATTTACCTTACAAGTTTTAAGTTTAACCAATCATAATTAAACTCAAAGTGGTAAACTATGACCTCTTAAATTTTCATTTCATGGAACTTATTCAATCTAGTTATATCAAATTATTCCGATGATACATTAAAATTGAATTTATCGATTTATAATAAATAATTAAAATTTTCTGTAAGTATTATAATAAAAATACTAATCATACATGAATACTAAAGAGAGTGCAAAACAAAATAGTAAGAGAGTATATTTATACAGTGGTAGAAGTAAAAAAAAAGTCATGTAACTATTAAATTTCCAAATACCAAAACCTTTGAAATTCTACCAGGTCAAGTCATAAAATTTTTAATTAATTTTTAGAAATAAATTAACAAAATTTTTTTTAATTAAAATTTCAAATCATTATCAATATTTTTTGTACAAGTGGGGGTGAGGGTTACGAACTCATGAACTCTTGATAATTACCACTGAGCAAAGCTCACATTGGCTCAAATTAATCCACCTTTTCTTATTCTAATCATACATATATATTTGAGGATATTAATAGGTTCAAAATTATTATTACTGTATCATTCAAAATAAACATATTTTTAATAAAAATTAACTATTTAATCTAGCAATATTTAGCAATATTTATATTATCTTTTTTTTTTTTGCCAATTTTTTTAGTTTAAGTTATATATCTTAATTAGATAATAGGAAGATATATTCTAAATTAAAATAACAAGAAGACATGTTTTTTACTTTTATTATTACGTGTAAATTGTAATGTCATTGTAGGAAGATTTTATTTTTTTGAAGAATGAAATTTTAATACTTAAAATAATATCATGATTTTTTTTCTCTGACAACGTAAATGTCAGATCAGACGCTGTCACGTTACATTTAAAAATCACATGTAATACAAACATTTGACTTTTGTGAACGTGGACACGTCCATCACATCCAAATTTGGCCACAAACTTTTATTTACGCAATGGAGAACTCTATCCACTCCTCCACCGATAAGAGTAAAAATAAAAAGATAAAAATATTATAAAAAAATAATGTACTTTAGACAATGACAAAATATTGAGAGATTTTTATTTTTATTATTATTTTCTGAAACTAGAGGGTGAAATTGAATATGGTGGAAGTTGAATAAAAATTAAATTTGTAATAATTATTCCAACTAGTTAGTCGGTGCTAAGAATTAATCTGGCCAGAGCTAAGAGGAAATTTGAGTTTTTCCACAAAGGGAAAAAATAATTTGTCATGTGATCATTACAAAATTTTTTAACATAAACTTTAGCATGTTAGCATCATTAAAAGTATAAATTTAATTAAAAATATATACTTTTTTTTTTCTTTTTGTTGTTATAGCTAATGAAAAATTTAGTGGTAGATTTTGTTGGAGTCTAGTACATATCAATATCCATAAAATTATATCTCAAAATTAATTAACGATTGGAGGATTAGTCCATGTATATTATAAGCATTTATTAGCTTTTTTTTATCTTTTCAATGTGAGATCGAGTGTTTGATTTATGGATTTGACATTAGTAGTCTGGATTTATTAAGTTGAGAGGATTTATGTTGGGGTGTTATGTAGCTTGGATTTAGGTAGCTTGTGTGTGGAGTGTAGGGTAGTTTGGATTTGGTCATTGAAGTTTAAAAATGAACACTAATTTATTCCTAAGATTTATAAAATGATTTTAAATAGTATTTAGATTGACAGTTGACTAACGAAATAGTGACGTGGTAGTTCAATTGCAGCCCATCTCTTACAACATTATTGTCCATGCTGCCTTAACTTTCTCCCCTACAGCCTCCCTCTCGTTGCCGGTGCTGATCTCGATCCTTCACGCCTCCCTCGTTGCTGCTCATCGCCTGTGCTTGTCCTCACCTTCTGTCGATGCTGCTCGCGTCGCCTCCACCGCTGCTACCAATCACGTTGCCTTGCCTCTACTATTGCTCCTTACCATCGCTTGGACTGCTGCTACTACTTGTTGTTGCCTCTCATTCCACCTCCAAATCTAGGTTTTCAGATCGTGGAGCAAAGAGACCTTCATTCTAGATCTAGTATACCAAAGATCTTAAGGAAACGAAGATCCGACAGTCCCTTCATTTTCCAAAAATGAAGGTGACAACGGACAAAGCGACTGGCAACCAATGACGAGAAGATGGAAGAAGAAGGTGGTTGGCACAATGGGTGGTCGGAAATGAGTGGCACCAGCAGCAGACCGCTTACAATTACCGTAGTAATTTTTTTTTTCAATCCAGTCAAATATATATCACACATTGTCTAAAAAAAACAAAAAAAAAAAAACAAAAAACAAAGAGTCAATACATATCACGTCAAGGTTCAAGTAACACCACCAAAATTAAAAACAAACTCTTTTCTTTCAAAATTTACCCATTTTTTCCCTCTCTCAAACTTCTCATAATCTCCCCTTTGGACAAAAACGAGTACATCTGTTAAACAAGAGCCCGCTACTTCTGGAGATGAACCCAATTCACAACAAAATTCCCATTATTCTCAATGGAAAATGAACGGTCCTGTATCATTTCTCATTCTAGAAAACTGTAAAAGCACAAGAATAACGACACAACAAATTAGAATGGTTCACCACTAAGGGCTATGTCCAGTCTTTCACTCCGATGTGGGTAATTCACTAATAATTGTTTAAGGATTGGATACAATAACTCTCCCTAAGAATATCCCCTAAAGGTCCTGTATCAGAAATTGCTTACCGCAAGTGTATGAGTCAAGTTTTAATAAAGTGGTAAGTCAATATCGATATCGTCCTCTGGATTGGGTTTCTAGATCACTCAAGTTTCTCAGATACAATCGCTCAATTTTATTAAGAGAATCAAAATCAAATGAGAGAATATAATCAAAGAAAATAAACATGCAATAATAAAGATAAAAACAATGGGGAGAAAAGTCATACAAAATTTATTTCAGCTATTGAATCTATGAACCAATTATTTAATTTCTCAAGATTGAACGAATTATTAATTCTATAGACCAAGAACTCTCAAATCTCACACCTGCCTCTCCCAAGTGCAAACTAATTCTCCTTACCAATTAAGAAACCAATATCCCTATCAAGTCTTCTAACGACCTCTAAAGGACTTCTAAATTTCCCGATCTTAAAAACCCTTTAGTTATGCATCCCAATTATAATTCTAAACCACCTCTCCCGAGCATAAGATTTCATGTCTAAAATCAATCAATCTATGGTCAATAGATTAAAAGGCATTAAGCATAGAGAAACATAAATAGAACATTCATAAACATTCAATCAAGAAAACTAAACAATCAATGCATAAAGTTCAATGGCTACATCAATCCCTAAGATAAGAGGTTTAGCTCCTCATATTCAATGTAAAACAATGAAATCACAATGAGAAGTTCATAACAAAACTAGAAAAATCAAGGGAAAGCAGAAGAAACTATGTTCCGCGTATCAATCGTCTGTTCCCAAAGCGAGCTCCACAATCTCGAGCCTTGAAAATCTCTTTTCTAGGCTCTCCAATGATCTCCTTGCCCTCCAAATTGGTCAAAAAGGCAAACTACCAAAGAAACTTTCCCAAACTCCTCCATCCAGCGGATGCACAGCCCTATTTTTATAAAAAGTTGCCGGTCAGGGCCATGGTGCTTTATACAGGTTCAAATCTTGTTGTTATTCCATCTTGGTCACTTTGCTTCCGATTTTTCTCTCATTTTGATCCAAATATATCTCGTTTCCTCCTGATACTTATTCCTGTAAAATATATCTTTTGTGCTTAAATTTGTCCTAAAGAAACGAAAACTATCAAATAATTTCAATATAAATCTCATGAAATGTAGCTCACAAAGCCATCAGGTCCCAACAAAAGCCCTCTAGCTTCTAAGTATTTTAACACAATTAATACTTAGGAACATGAATGAAAAATCCATAATATAATCAAGAATGAATTCCTCAAAAATATCGATCTCGATCTCGATTTGCCCTTTTTGTGTTGCCAACTCCCGAGCTGCTGCCACGAAAAACTATTGCCAAAGAACTCCAATTCGGCTGCCCCTAAAATTCTTACGGCTGTACCTTGCAAAACATAAAACTCATATATATATATATATATATATGAGTATGTGAAACCTAAAAATAAATGTTTGGGCTTTTGGCCCATTACTTGTTTTCACTCATTCCTTTTATTTATTTATTTTATTTTGTATTCAATCGTCATATGATAAAAAAAGATATTGACATGTATATTAACATTCATATTAGATATATATCGTTGATATATCGACACTCATAATCAGGTATATCAATAATATATCAAATAAGATATAGAAATTAGGTATATTAAATCAGATCATGTATATTATTGTTTGGACTCCGTGTTCGATAAAGGTATATTGGATTTTTACTTTCTTATGTGTTGAGCTTTCAAATTTTGCTACTTTTTGCAAAATTGAAAAGTAATTGCTACTTTTATAAATTCCAATTAATTTTTTAATGTATTTTTTAATAATATTTTTAATTAATCTTATTTTAAAAATAATGCTGATTTATTAGAAAAAAATGTAATTTTGAAAACTTATTCCAAAAATATTGTTGTGGGGGCGGGTCATCTGTTCAAGAGACGATGGCGTCACGCTAATTTTTTTTTTTAAAACGGAAGCAAGACAATAAGTTTAATTAAAAACAATATTAAAAAAACCCTTTTTCAAGTGCACCAACCTTTTGCCTATTAATTTTTTACTACTTTTCCAAGTGCACAAACCTTTTACTCCGGTAACCCTCCCTAAAACGTTGTAATATATATCAATTTTTTCCTCAATATTAATATAGCTCAGTTAGTTAAGATATATATATTCTAAATTAAAATGTTGGAGACAAAGTTTGAAATATCAAGAGCTCGATTTACGGAAATGTCAATGTCGATAGAAATTTCGAAAAAATCTTGAAAATTATGGAAATGGATGGAAATGGTTAGAATTAATAAATTATATTTTAATTGTGGCTTAATTCGACAATAATGGATAATTTTTAATCATCCAATCTCAAAATATAAGTAATATAATATCAATATTAACAAAAATTTTGAAAAAAATATAAAAATGGATGAAAATTATTTGAATGAGTAAATAACATTTTAATTGTGGTTCAATCGTCAATAAAGAAAATGACGTGGTCTAATTGGCCTTGACTATTTAAAATGATTGTATCTGAAAATATAATTATTATTTATATGGAAGTACTGTCAATAAAAAATAATAATAATAACAATAATAAATGTAAAACCAGGAGAAGTGATAGGTTGGAATGTACTTTCTCGAAAAATCCACTTATCCATAAAAACGGAGAGAAAACCTTTTTTATCCTTATAACTCAAATGATTAGGATATATATATTATTGATTAAAAGATTGGAGATTTTAATCCTCATTCTCGTATATTGAACTCAAAAATTAAAAAAGAAATAATTTATTATGTTACTGTAGAGGATACCCAATAAAAAAAAATCCTCATTCTTTCCAATATATACACATCTGGTAAATAAATCGTGAACATTTTACCTTAGGGTTTCTGTTAAATGAATTATGAAAAAATAGTCTACATGATTAAATGACCTTTTATGTAAAACTTTTGAGCAGGATATTAAATTCTCATTGTTTATGTTGACATTTAGATTGATATTTTCATATTTTCATGAGTTCGACATTGACATGAGAAATAATTGTCATTTCCATAATATAGTATCGCAAAAAAAAAAAAAAAAAAATCAACAATTATAAAATTAATGAAATGTTCCACTTCAAAATATATATATATATATATATATATATTTTGACACACACAGAAGGTGGTTGTTGTTTATAAATACATGCATGTTTTAAAAATTTCTTTGAATATTGCTGATCTAGTTTGTGGAAGGATGAGCGGTTCATACATATTATGTTTACATATATAAATGTGCTATATGATATCATATTTCAGGTTAGTTTTGTAGTATTTTCTAGGTAGGGGTGATTGAAATTAAATTAAATTTTGTTTGATGAAGGAGTATTGAATCTCTTTAGTGAATTTGGTATATTTGTATTGTTTAGTTTTATCTCAGGAGGAATAAGTGGTATTAGTAATTAATTTATTTTTAATGACACACATTAACGAGGGACATTCCATGACAGAAAAATGAAAATCCAATGATACACATTTAGTGATGTATATATAATGAGGGACATTGACCGTCATTGAATAAAAACAGGAACACTCATCGATGAGCGCTCGTCGCTATTTTTCTTTAATGACCAGCACTACCAAATTTGTTGTAATAATTGTATTTTATAATTTTTTCTTGAAATATCTATCGACATCAACATTTTATCAACATTAAATTCAACATTTCCAAAAATTGAGAACATGAAAATTGACATTTAAAACCTTGCTTTTGAGATTAAAACGGGACGTTTAGAATCAAAATAGAATTTAGACAAGAAATGGAATAAAACACCCTATAAAGAGACATAGAGAAGAAATTTGAAACAGCCAAAAGTGAGATGCTAGTAAGACTAACCTACATACACTTTTCTCTTTATTTGAGTAACGAATGCATTTTTTTTTCTTTAACTTTTTTTTGGGACAGCTGAGATGACAAGAAAAATAAAATCGTCAGAAGAATTATTTTTTCTTCCATTGAGATGTAGGTAATGAAGGATGTCATATTTTCTTTTACGTAAGCAATGACAATGAAGAAGGTGAAAAATCCATAATTTTTCAAACCAAATATATAATCAATTCTTATTCTACTTCTAGACAGTACTACGAATTCCACAATACATTTTATCTATTAAAAAAAATTGTTGACTTACATTTAATTGGGATATTTAAAAAAAGTATAAAATTTAATAAGGTTTTGTAAAAGAGGGGCTTTTCATAATATTTTTTTAGACGAAAAAGAAAACTATGCCTCCGTCAGTCCTGATGGATCCAAATCTAATAAAAAAACATTAATTCATCTCTTCCTTTTCATCAAATAACATAACTGAATGCGAACAGTCAAGAAATTCGTTAAACAGACAGATTCACAACTGCATTTTTATTATGGTCTTATAGAACGAAAATTACTTAAAAAATGTTCGTATCATCGAAAAAGCTTCAACAAGTCAAGTTTTACTGCAATTACTTTGATGGAATAAATAGACCATTTTAAAATTGTATCTATTCTTCGCTGGTGGCGGCTGTCGGCTGGAGGTAAATTTTCCTCGCTTTGGAAACAAGAATAACATTACTGACAAGTAAAATCTCAAAGCACTTCCCTTGCCAAGTCAAAACTGTGGTTTGAAATTTCAAAGCACTTCCCTCAGCCTTTCCCCCCAAAAAACTTGTATAAAACCCTCAATATCCTCTCCAAAGCCCCTCCAAGAAACAAATTAGCCTACATCTCACATCCTCCATTATTGTAGCTTTGAAAGCTTTGGTCATTATATGATGAGTAAATTAGAAGAGTTGGTTCTATTGGACATGTGGGTGAGCCCTTTTGCAATAAGGGTGAGGGTGGCATTGGCTGAGAAAGGAATAGAATATGAGCCAAAACAGGAAGATTTGAGCAACAAAAGCACTTTGCTTTTGGAGATGAACCCTCTCAACAAGCAAATCCCAGTGCTGATTCACAAAGGGAAACCCATTATTGAGTCTCTTGTTATAGTTCAATATATTGACGAGGTTTGGAGTAGTGAGGAGGGAGCTTATAACAATGCCAATTTCCTTCCTTCTCATCCTTTCCAGAGAGCACATGCTAGGTTTTGGGCTGACTATGTGGACAAGAAGGTATGTTTTTTTTCGAATTCAACACTTGGAGGTTCGGAATCGAGTCTTTTGGTACAATAATATATTGCTAAAGATTCCACACATTGAAAAGATAAGGGACCTAATAAACGTTTATAATACACATAAACTACTCATCTCATTGTTAATTGGTTTTTAGATGATTAAACTCCATGAATATTGATATGGTATCAGAGTCTACCAAGCTCAAACGAGCATCTAATCCAAACCACGATCTTGAAGAGACCATGTTAAGGATCTCACATTGTAACAAATATTTATAATACACATGCATTACTATTTTCATTGTAAATTGATTTTCAGATACTCCATGAATAGTGATATATGTGTCTTATTTACTTGAATTATGTTCGGCATGACAATGTATGCTTAATAGATGCCCTCTTATGATAAATTTATGGGTTATGATTAGATCTATCCGATTGGAAGTAAGCTGTGGAATAGAGAGAAGACAGAAGAGGAGAAAGAGGCAGCAACAAAGGAACTTTTGGAGTGCTTTAAACAACTAGAGGAAGAGCTTGGAGAAAAGCCCTATTTTGGGGGTGAAATTTTTGGGCTTGTAGATATTGCTCTCATTCCATTTTACAGCATGTTTCTTGCATTCAAAATTCTTGGAAAATTGAAATTAGAAACTGAGTGTCCCAACATCTTCCAATGGGCTCAGAGGTGCACCCAAAGAGAGAGTGTCTCAAAGAATTTGCCTTCTCAACAAGTGGTTTACGATGTCGTTTTGAAGATCCTAGGAATTCAAACTCGAGTAATTTAAGATTTTTTTCTTTTAAAATTCCAAGATACAGCATTCAGTTGTAAGATTGTTTTTGTTATGTAAGTTGTTGAAGTTTCTTTTAATTGTAATGTTCTAAAATTTATAGTTTCTTTCTATAATAATATTTGTCCGTGCTAATAAATCCTAGGAGTTAATCATTGAGTAATTTAAGATCGGTTTTTTCTTTTAAATTTTAATTTCAAGATACAGCATTGAGTAAGTGTTTTTATTAAGTAAGTTGTTTTAATTGGCTTTGGGTTGTTGAAGTTTTTTAATTGTACTGTTGTAAAATTCGTAGCTTCTTTCTCGAAAAAATAGTAATATTTGTGTCGGTGTGGAGGTACTATTCTAATAAATTTTGAATTTGATAAACTAAAAATTGGTAGAACTTTAATTCTTTTCTTACTTCTAAAAGTAAGTTTTGTTTATTTATTTATGTATTATAGTAATTGAAACCATGGGTAGATAATAATGAGTGAAAGCATTGTGTGTTTTGTATTGGTATGAAATTGTTAGAGAGAAGATGGGAAAGATAATGTGTGTGTGAGTAAAGCAAAGGTTATAAGAAGAGAAAATTTGTTGTGAGAGATCTTGCAAGAAGAAGTGTGTATAGAGAGAACATAGAAAGGAAAAAAAAAAAAAGAGAGAAAATCCTTACTCTTTAAGTTCATGAGCTCTTGTCCCTACCTTTCTATCCAATCTATGTAGATAAGAAGTGTTTCTTATGAGATTTTTGGTGAATCCTATTATTTTGGCTCCTTATTGAAACTTAATATCAAAACTTTATCAACACCACCTAGCTCAGGGCCTACTTATCTAGATATGAGTTTTTTTTTTTGGTTGTGAATCCTATTATTTTGGCTCGTTACTGCTCAAACTTAATATCATAAACTTGATCAACATCACCTGGTTTAGGACCTTTTACTTCGATATTTAAGATATCGACGACCTAGTTAGTGCATGTTGTACAAAGGATTGGAATCGGATAGTAAGACGCATCTAAAATGGATTGAGAAGAAGTAAAGAGGAAAGAAGAAGAAAATGACACAATGATCATTTTTACGTGGAAAACCCCTAAACGAATTAGGGTAAAAACCACGGACAAGGAAGAAGAATTTCACTCAATAAAGTAAGAGTTACAAACTTTCTTTCTTATAGAGAACAAAATCTCTTATAAGAAGTAACTCTCTCTATCTTTATCTCACCAAGCCTCACACTCACACTTTAGCTCACTTGGAATTAGAGAATTTTTGGGATGGTTTGCCAAGCATGGGTGCCCTCCTATTTATAGCTCATACATACACTGTTTGGATAGATGATGATCTAGTGGCCACAATTTTGCCACATATTGTACTCTAGTAACTTCTAGTTTCTTCAATTATCCAATGAAGTTTCTTGAGCAAGCTTACTTATCCTAGTGGCTTCTAGAGATTTCTATCTCCAAGGAGGCTTCTTGAGATTTGGCAAACCACTTAACCTAGTGGTTTCTAGAGGCTTCTTGAGCATACTTGGGAAATATTATTTAACAATCTCCCACTTGAAGATTTGATTATCACATCTCCACCATTCTTATTACCTTGCCACCTTCATGTTGCTTATGTTTCTGCTAGACCATTCGAGGATCGACACCAATTTAACTTGTCAGCATTGACTGTCTTTGTTAGGTAGTCTGCTAGGTTTTCTTTTGTGCGAATTTTGTGCAAGTCCACTGTTCCTTCTTCCACTTTCTCATGAACGAAGTGGTATTGCACTGGAATATGTTTTGACTTGGAATGGAAAGCTGGATTCCTTGCAAGATACAAGACACTCTGACTGTCACAAAACAGAGAAATATTCTTCCATTCATGTCCGAGTTCCTCCAATAGCATTTTCAACCAAACCGCTTCTTTACTAGCTTGTGTAGCTGCAACATACACTGCTTCTGTTGTTGACGTATCCACAACTGACTGCAGTTTTAAAATCCAACTTACAGCTCTGCTAGCAAGAGTGAACACATATCCGGTGGTGGATTTGTTATTATTACGATCACCTGCATAATCTGAGTCAATATATCCTCTAACAATAAAGTCTGATCCTCTATAACACAATGCAACATCAGTGGATCCTTTGATATATCTAAGGACCCTTCTAACAGAATTCCAATGCTCACGACCTGGATTCGCCATATACTGACTAACTACTCCCACAACATGTGCAATATCTGATCTGGTACAGAACATGGTGAACATTAGACTTCCCACTGCTGATGCATTCGATACTCGAGACATCTCCATCCTCTCTGCTTCTTTGCTAGGGCTCATACTAGAGGATAACTTGAAATTAACAGGAAGAGGGGTAAAGATTGGCTTATAGTCTTGCATGTTGAAGCGTCAGAAGACTTTCTTCAAATAATTTTTCTGTGATAGCCAAATCTTCGTGTTATTTCTGTCTAGATGAATTTGCATCCCCAGAATCTTGTTTGCTGGTCCCAAGTCCTTCATTTCGAACTCCCTAGCCAATTGAGCCTTTAATTCTTCGATACGATCTTTGTTGGGGCCTGCAACCAACATGTCGCCAACTTACAACAACAAGACAATAAAATCTTTTTCACCAAACGTCTTGAAATATGCACAAGGGTCTGCATTAAGTCTGTTGTATCCAAGGCTCACAACGAAGACATCAAATCTCTTGTACCAGTACCTCGGCGCCTATTTAAGACCGTACAGAGATTTGTTCAACCTGCAAACCAAGTTCTCTTTTCCTTTTACTTCAAAGCCTTCTGATTGGAGCATATAAATTTCTTCTTTGAGATCTCCATGGAGAAAGGCAGTTTTAACATCTAATTGCTCTAGCTGTAGATCAAAGGTAGCACACATTGGTAGGACTATTCTAACCGTAGTCAGTCGAACCACCAATCTCGCACGATACTGCTCTCTTGGCCATCGTTGTTGTGCTTGATCTTATACACCCACTTGTTGCCAATGGGCTTTCTCCCTTGTGGTAGCGTTACAAGTTCTCAGATCTTGTTCTTATGGAGAGCTTCTATTTATTCCTGCATTGTTGTCATCCACTAAGCAGCATCTGAACTAGTCATTGCCTCTTGGAGTTAATGGCTCTCCATCCTTGGTTAGAAGACAATATGCAACATTACTCTCCATAATGTAATCAGATTGCCAACTGGGTGGTTTTGTCAGCCTACCTGATCGACGAGTCTCTGGTACTCGTGATCCTTATGATTCCTGGATCTCGTGCGCTGGTTCAGCTTCAAATGAGTCCTCTTCAGATTCTTTCTCCACGTGTACTGTTGTAGTCTCTGAACTAATGATATCATCTACTACAGCTTGTCTCTTGTCCTCCATAAAGATCACATCCCTGCTGATGATGACCTTGTGGGCAGTGGGATCCCACAGGCAATACCCCTTCACACCATCAGCATACCCTAAGAATAAACATTTCTTGGATTTAGGATCCAGCTTTGTAGTTTTTTGGGCATTGTACATGACGTACACCGAACTTCCGAATATATGGAGGTTTGAATAATCACCTGGCTTGCCCGTCCACATCTGCATCGGTGTCTTCAACTCAATTGTGGTTGATGGAGCACAATTCACTACATAACAGGCAGTATTGACTGCTTCTGTCCAGAAAGCTTTGTCTAAGCATGCAGCTGCTAACATTGCGCTTATCCTATCCAACAATGTTATGTTCATCCGCTTTGCTAGTCCATTTTGTTGAGGAGTGTAAGCCGTAGTGAACTGCCTCTTGACGCCTTCCTGATTGCAGAAATTTGCAAACTCATTGCTTGTATGTTCTCCTCCATTATCTGTCCGCAAACACTTCATCTTCTTGCCAGATTGAAGTTCTACCTGCACTTTGAACACTTTGAAGTATAATTCATATACATATATAATTTTAAATTATTATAGATTTATATGAATTATAATTCAATTGTATGTATAAGTAGTTTTTTATTTAAACATATGTATATGTAGTTGGTGTTTTGATATAAAATAAATTATAAAATGTTAAGTTTAAATAATTAAATTTAAATATTGGGTGAGATCAAATTAATTAAGTACTTAAATAATCTTAATTTTTTACTGAAAATTATTATTATTATTATTTTAATTATCATTTTCTCTTATACATGTTTAAATAATTATAGTTCGTAAAAATATATAATTTTAAATGAGTGATTTTAATAAAAGTAATAATTTATTTTGAATTTATAAAGATAAAGATACTCAATTTTAAGCGAAAAATATTAAAATAAAATAAAACATTTATTTTTCAAATGAGTCATATTCAAATTAACAAAATAAATTGTATTATATTTTGAACTTACTAAAATTAAATATCTATTAATAAAGATGTCTAATTTTTAAATTAGACACCATCAAAATAACCAATATAGATGTATGTTATTATTTTGAGTTTATTCAATTCAAATAATCTAAATATGTATTATTTTATTTTTAATATAGTGAATTTAAAAGAGGCTTAGAGACTGTAATTTATTTTCAATGTAATAAAATTAAAAGATAAAAAATAAAAAGTTTTAAAAATATATATTTTTATCATTACTTAAGATTATCCAATAAAAATGGAGGAGGAGTATATTGTAATCATAACCCATTTAATTTTAGAAAATATTCATAAAATAATATAACATAAAATTTAAATTTTAGAATTGGCATAAACAAATTTTAATTGAAAAATTATTAGAATCTAACTCTAACTTTAATGGAAAGAAGAAAAACAGGGAGCAACATAAATGCAACTTACAAAACTACATAGTTTACTCTACACCGAACTTCATGACTCTGGGCTCTAGGCTAAGAAACTGTACAACCTCAATATAGATTAAACAACTTCAGACTAAGTAACTATCAAGATTTACTCTCCAAATGTAACAACTCCAGATTTAACAACTCCACCATGCAACTTGAAAGCTCCCTTATCGTTTTAGAAAAAAATATAAACATTTGATAACTATTCATATTTCTTGTTTCTCATTTTTA